TTGTGAGGGAGAAGGTGCTGAATGGAGAACTAGACACTACACATGTTAATACAGGAAATCAATGGGCTGACTTATTTACAAAAGGCTTGAGTCGGGGAAGAGTGGACTACATATGTAACAAGCTGGGAGTATATGATATATACTCACCAGCTTGAGGGGGAGTGTTAGCGTAGGGGTACTTCTGTATACCTTGATTAATGTTGTTGATCTGAGGTTGTGTTGGAACAAGTGCTCTTAACTTAAGTAAGGGCACATAGGTCCTTTTAGTTATGTTTTAATAATAATATAAATACTTACTGGCCGACTGGAAGAAGTCAAGTTGACTCTTTCAGTTCGAACCAAAATTCTCTCTTCTCTCTTTCTCTTTCTCTCTCTCTCTCTCTCTATCACCTTTTCTTCTTCTACATACCTGAACTCAGTCAGGCCGAACTCTAAGGCAGACCTGAATTCTATCAAAAATAAATGTCATCGTCATCATCTAGCCTTGTCCCATATATATGGGGTTGGCTACATGAATCCTGTTTCACCATTATGTTCTGTTCAGTGCCATATACATTGTTTAATCCTAGGTGCTTACATCATTTTCTCATTTTGATCGGAAACTTAAATAATTCCTTATTACTTCAACCATAGTTCTTTTTGTTTGGCCGCTAGCTCTTCTAGCCCTTTTAACTTGTAACAGATTACTTTTTCTAACAAGTCTGGAGATGGTCTTCTATGCACATGAACAAACCATCTCAATCTACTTTCTCTCATTTTATCACCTATTGGATCTTCTCGTAGGTTCCTTCATATGACTTTATTTCTAACCCTGGTCCTTCCTAGTTTTACCACTCATCCATCTAAGCATTTGCATTACTGTAACACTCATTTTTGGACTCCATAAATATAAATATCTAGAATTAAAATTTGTAAGGAACTTTAGATATTTCAACTTTTTATCTTGATTTTAGATAGGACCTGAATGAATAGTATATTAAATCCTCTAATAATGGTGCTAAATGGAGACAAAACAGGAGAAACCCTCAGCAATTTGATAAGATATGGAAAGAGATAAGATAAACATGACAAGGAACACTAGGAAAATACGTTAGAGAGAGAAAATTCACCATTTAAATTGTTGATTTTTTTCTCTTGAGATTTTAACTGGCTCTGAAATTCTGTAGACATTTTGAAGAAAATTTCAGTTTTAACTGAGGTTGAAACCGAGTTTAAAACTGAGACTTAAATCATTGGCATACTATTCAAAAATCATATAGCTACATATTTACAGATTTATTATGCTGCTTCCATTAAATTCTTACACCACACTTCACTTGGACAATGAGTTCAAACTTAAAGCAACATGAGTGGAAAAGAGAATCTATCTATTCGACTCTAATATAAAATTGCATGACCAGAAAAGCACAATAAAATGGAGATAAGGGATAATTTCTCTAGATTACATGGGAAATGGAACACATACAAGCGGGATTCCGATGTATAACAGCTAAAACAAAAACTAAAATTCTATAAAATAAGAATTCGATTTGAAATCATACAATTGCAGACATTACAGATTGTTTATAGTGCTTTGGTTACATCTTGTACTATATCTTAATAATACCTTTTCAGTGGTTCATTTCTCGAGCAACAATAAGTTCATTGAGGATGTCAGCATCACCAGAGTCAGATGGCACTAGAATTTCATCATCAACTGTGAAATTGTATCTTTCTCCAATGGCTCTTAGAAGCTGGTATACTTCAAACATAGTAGGTCTCTCCTTTGGAGTTGGCAAGACACAATTACAGGCAACTCTAAGAAATTGGAGGAGCTCGCCATCAATATCTTTCCCAACCAAAGACTTATCAATGGCATCTTGGAGACGAGAATCACTTGAAAGTTTTGTAACCCACTCTGCCAAGTTTCCTTTGAAGCCTTCAGGGGCATTTGCTACATGGGTGGGTCTCTCACCAGTAACAAGCTCAAGAAGCACAATACCAAAGCTGTAAACATCTCCCTTGGGAGTAGCCACCAGTGTCCGTGCATACTCAGGAGCAACATAACCCAAGTCCCCAAAATCCCCATTCACAAAGGTACTCAAGTGTGTATCAACTGGGTTCATAAGCCTTGCAAGTCCGAAATTGGATATTTTTGGCTCAAAATCCTCATCCAACAATATGCATTTGGAACTTATGTTTCTATGGAGAATACGGGGATTGCAGTTATGATGGAGCCATGCAAGGCCTCTGGCTGCTCCTATCCCAATCCTTAGCCTTAGTGGCCATTCCATGGACTTAGCCTCAACCTCCACAAAATGCAGCCGATCATGGAGGCACCCATTTGGCATATATTTATACACCAGAAGCCTCTCTTTCTTTGCCATGCAGAAGCCCAAAAGAGAAACCAAATTACGGTGCTTCACACTCCCCAAAGTATTCATTTCAGATATAAATTGCTTCTCAGAATGTTGTGTGTCTTGTAACCTCTTGACCATAAGGGAGGAACCATCTAGAAGCAATGCCTTGTACAGTGTCCCTGTTCTTCCTGAACCAATGATGTTGTCTTTGTGAAAGTTGTTAGTAGACTTCATGAGATCACTCAACCTCATCTTGCAAACAGACCTCTCAAACATGGAAACCTAGAGAGCAGAGTATTTCCTTTCTCAGTGCTTTCTAGCCAAAAAGTGGAAAAAGGAAACAAGAATAAAGAGAAAAGCATAATACAGGAAAGAGATCAGATTAGCTTACCTTGATGCCTTTAGTTCCCTTAATATTCTTTGCCCATTTGTTTCCTTCAAGGTCTTCTTCCTTCTTCCTTATGGACACTGTACGCATCCAGAAGTACAATGCAACACCAACAACCAAAAGTGTAACAACCACCCCAGCAACTGCTGACCCAATTATAACTGCACCATGAGACTTCTTAGCAGGTGCTGTGCATTTACTACCCAAAGGCTCCCCACATAGCGCCGGATTATTTGCAAAGCTATCTGATGGAAAGGTGGTATTAACAAAGGTAGGGATAGGTCCAGACAACTGATTGTCGGCAACACTAAATGTCTTGAGACGATTGAGTAGGATAAATTGTGGGGGGATTTCCCCTGTCAGTTGGTTATTTTCAAGTTTGAGGGTGTTCAGGTATGTACAGTTAGAGAGGCTAACTGGGATCTGACCACTAAAACGATTGGAGGAGAGATCAAGGGTAGTCGCATATATAATCATCTTTGAAACATCCAGTGGAATGGGTCCAGAAAGATTGTTGTTAGAAAGATCTAAGCCTGTCAAGGTAGTGCAATTCTCAACACCCTTCGGGAACTGGCCCTTCAGACCCATGTCTGACAGGCGAATGTTTATGACCCTGTTCTCGTCAGGGTGCCAGCAATCAATCCCCGTAAATTTACAGATGAAACCTTCTGTTTTGTTGTTAAAATTCCATGAAGATAAGTAGTTGAAAGGGTCTTCCAGTGAACTTTTCAGGCTTTTCAAGCAGTTAATATCTGCATCGCTACCATCGCTTTTGGTAGCAGTCAGTAGCAACCAGGAAATAGCAGACAGAACAGCTAGACAACTGTAATTCATGGTTTTTAGCATAAAAAATCCCGATTCTTATTCAAAAAAAAAAAAATCCTTAGAAAATCCCAGTATAACCTCAGGAGTAAAAAAAAATCCGAAATGAAAATAAGAATAAACAAGAACTAAATCAACCAATAGTCTCCAATTTCGTTCGACATCAAAGGAAAAACCGTCTGGTTCCACGACATAGTAACCCCAATTGCACACAGAAGACCTGCCAGAATTACAAGTTATTACACCCAGTCACCCAGAGGAGGAAAGGGAGGAGAGATGAGGAAAGAACTAAACCCAGAATTAAAAGGAACCCAATATAAAGAAAACTACAAACAACTAAACCCCCAATTGCAGTCTTTGGGAATCAAAACACGGATACCCAACAGCCTTCCGCTCCATGAAACCCAAAGAACCTATTAAAGACCCAATCACCCAATTTGAATTCCTTCACACACCCATCAAAATAAATGAAGATACAGAGATGCCCAGTTGGAAATATCAAAAGAAACTACCAAAAAAGCGCGCCAAATTAAGCAACTGACCTGTAACTTCCGTGCCACAACAGATGTAAACCAAAAACAGTCGCACAGAAAACGAAACCCTGAATGCTCAGAACACCCGGAAGAAGTTTACTCAAAACAGTGAAGAAGCAGCACCATGTCACAACATAATTCACAGAAGACTTCCGGGGCGCAAGGACCCCAAGACTTTTGGGACGCAAATAAAAGAGGCCGAAAATCCAAAAAGCGCGTGTTTGTTTGAAAAATCAAAGCCTGCAGCGAGACAGTAGAGCTAAAAGTAACAAACCCACTATCCACAAAAAACAGAGAGAGAGAAAGAAAAAAATCAATAGTTCAACACGATGAATATGGGTCAAATGAAGAAAAAAAAAGGTATTCTAAATCGATTCCTTCTTATTGCCTTTATTGATTTCTATTTGCAGTCTAATGAAAGATTCGAAGATTTGACGATTTGGGTCAAACACGAAATGCCATTTCAATGCTAAGAAAGTGAAAGAAGTGGCGTTACGGTTTACACAATTACACAACTTGTTTGTGTATTCAATTATCAGTCAAAGACGCGCGTACTCGCATATTTGCCGCCGAAACCTCCAATGACTATGTCGCTTCGTAACTGTTATCACTCGTTAAGAGTAGAGGAGGGGTTTGTCACACAAGAAAATGAAACGTGAATCCGTTCTAAGTGAAAAGCTCGGTTCGGCTCATTTATAAGTGAGTTTCGAGTCTAATTTATTGGTTCGATTTGTTCTATATATATAATTAAAATATTATAATTTTTAATTTTTTAAATATTAAATAATAATATTTTTATATATAATTTTTTATTTTTATAAAACTTTTTTCTCAAATCGAGTTCGAATTGAGTCAAAATCGGGCTCATGAGATTTTGATTAGAGCCGAGTTTGAGTTCAATATTTTAATTCAAACTGAGCTCGAGCCTTGTATAACCTTGCCAAGCCGAATTCGAGCCTAGTATTATTCGGATCAATTCAGCTCGAATCCACTCCTACTCATGTCTTAAGTGAGGATTTAACTCGATCTAGTTAGAGAACTGGACCGGGCATCATCTGAAAAAAGTAGAGGTTCATGGGTTAGAGGTCTGATCGGATTGAATTGGAGGTTAAACTATACTGATATAATAAATAATATATATATAATAAATAAAATTCAAAAATTACTGAATATGAAGAAAAATTAATCCAAAATAAAAAGCTTGAGGCAATTAAAGGTCAAATTCCAAGATGGCTTAGGCTATCCTACAAGACTGAACAACTAAGTAGACTGTCTTGTATCTTGGCCGAATTTGGTGGACTGAATGCCGAAGTAAAGAACAAATTATAATTTAATTTGAACAAACCTATAAACAAAAGTTAGAAAACTATGAGTAATTAATTAATTTCGAGTTCAATAATTAAAAAAATAAATATTAAAAAATTAAAATAAAATAAACTTTAAAGTGTAAATGTTATATAATGCAGAAATCAAAATTGCAAAATTTACATTTTTCAGGGTTCAAGTGGGAGGAGGAGGAGAAGGAAGAAAACTAAGAGAGGGTCATGGCTCTCGCATGGTGAACAAAGCACCGCCGTATTAGAGAAGGAGGAGGAGGGGGAGAGAACACCAGCCGGCAGAGTTGGAGGAACGTGGTGAACAGAGTCCACTCGTGGGAAGAAGAAGAAGAAGAAGGCTTCGGTGTAGCTGGACTTAGGTTTGAACAAAACAAAGAGGAAGAAGATCATTGAACGAAGGTTTTGGGTTAGGATTGGGATTTCCGATTTGGACCTTGGGGCATATTTGGTTCAATTTTAGGTTTTTTTTCTTATCTTTTTGTATTAAAAGTCAAAATCTAAAAAAAAAGAAAAGGAAAACCGGCTGATTATGCAAAACCGAGACTAGGTCTCTTGTTGAATTAGCCGGGTGGATGGTTTTCACCAAGGTTCAAAGTTTCATTATGTATCGGCCCGTATCGTCTGATATATATCATTCCGAGATCCTTCCAATACGCCCCTATAGTGGGTGTATCGGGTATGACCGGTTCAGGGGATGGAGGGGTCCTAGACCAGCTCCCCTGAACCAGTTCTGAAAAAAAAAATAAAAAAAAAGTAAAAAAACAAGTATTGAAAAATGCCTGATATGCCCCTACCAGCGTATCGGGCATATCGATATTTTGAACCTTGATTTTTACAATTTTTTTAACAAAGTGGTTTTTGGGGTATATCCGGACCAACTAGGGGCAGTGTCACAATTCAACCAGTTCAATCGACCAATTTGGTTCAGTTTTTAGAACATTGGTATTAGCTATCAAGTTAGGGCCCGTTTGGGTGGGCTAAAACTTTGATTTGAGTTGTACGGCGGCATATAGGTCGGATTAGATTAAGAAAATGGTATATTGAATCTGATCCGATGCAATAAGAAATTTGACCGATTTGAATCCGATAAGAATTTTTTGGATTTTTAAGAGTATGATTCGAATTTAAATTCAAATATCTTATCAATTATCTTATTCAATTTGAATTGTAATAAAAAAAAACTTGATGATATAATATAAATATATTAATTATAGAGTATAAATATATTATTTATATAATATATAGAATATAGAATATACATATATAATATATAAATAATATATAATATAAAATATTTCATAACTAATAGATCAAATCGGGTTGTGATGGATTGGATCAGGGTATATTTGAATTGGATCCATTGATTTTTCCTAATCCAATCGGATTTGTTAGGATCAAGGGAGTTATTGAAATTTGCCTCTTACTAGATCAAATTCAGTTTTGAGTCAGATTTGATCTGATTTAACTTATTTGTAGCCTAGTTGAGCGGCTTTCACTGAGTTGCTTTGGAAAAAGTACGAAAAGAAGCTTAAGTAGAAAGCCATATATTTCCATTACGTTGCTCTCTTTCTATTGCACATATAGCCTAAATAATGGTTAGAGATCTTATGATTGTTATAGAGCCATTAGGAAGGGATTTAAACCATTTCTTAGAAATGTTTGTAACTTTTTCCCAACATTAATGAAGGCTTACTAGAAGAGGAAAAATAAAAGAGGAAAAATCCATTGAGCTTTTAAATAGTCAAAATTCTCCATTTTTTCTATAAAGTAGTCAACTAGCATGAGCAAAAGGTTGACTATTTTTAATACTACAAGAAGTAAGTAGTTGACTACTAGGTTTAAGTAGGTGACTACTATTAGCAAGAGAGAATCTTTTCTTTCTTGTAGTCCACGGGGTGTAGTTAACTACTTGATACAACTTACTCTTAGGGTCCATTTGGTTTGTAGTCAGAATCGGAATCGGAATTAGAATGGTCCATTCCCATAGTCTGTTTGGTTCAGACATGAATGGGAATGGGAATTAAAATCAGCAGGAATGGGATTTAATTCCCAAGGGAGGGGCAGGGAGTGGCCATTCCCTCAAATGGGGGAATTCCATTCCAACAGGAATGGGAATGGGAATCCAATTCCGTCCAACCAAACAGTTGGAATCGGAATAACCCATTCCAATTCCGATTCCAGACCCCTATTCCTGCAAACCAAACGGACCCTTAGTTTATAGGCATGGTTGAATACTACCTTTTAATTGTCAACTACAGGTCAAAGTTGTGACACCAAGCTTGACTATTACAAGTGGTGGACTATTGCTTCATGGATAGTTAACTACGCAATGATACCAGACTTGGCTGTCACAAGTAGCCAACTATTGCTATATGGACAATCAACTACTAACTATATCCAACCTTAGAACCTTTAAGTAGATGACTCCAAAGGCTGAAGAGCCAACTTCTTAGACCTCCACACTTAGAAATTTCACAATTAAGCTCAGTATAAAGTCTAGGGAAAGCCTAGCCACCTTTTTCCATCCTAAACCATTGGTCTCTAAAGTTTTAGTAACACTAAATTAGGTCTTACTTGAAGTTTTAGTAACACTAAATTAGGTCTTAGTTGAGCCCATTGTTGTACATCTTGCAAATGATTACATCAAGATCTAAAATATATAAAACAAGTTGGAAACTCTAGAGCATGAAGTTTTCTTCTTCTTGTCCATGGTAACAAATATAGCGTCTTCCTTAGAGAGAGTAGAATCCATAATTTGGTACAACTGCTCCTTTATGTCTTAAACCATCAATGATCTAAATGAGTTTTTCATCAATTCTTTTTAGTTCAACTGAGGAATCTTCTGATACAACCGCACATTTGATTTTCACAACATTAGTTCTCTAAATGAATTTGTTATCATCAAAATACATAGGGTCAACATGTTTGGGCATGTTTCTATGAATTCGCCCTTGATTTGCATTATAGAATTATGATTATCATTAGTTTGGTTATAGACATTAATAATTGGTATGTAGACTAAATGTTCTTAACCGGTGAATAAATTGGGGCAGTTTATTCTAACATGATTGATAGACTTATATTGCCTTATAAGGATTAGTTTATCTCAACTATGAGGATCAAAACCAAAGTTTGAGTGTGAATATTTATGAAACATTGAACTAGACCATTCCTGAGTATTCCTAGTCCACAGATTCACAAAGCCTACATAATATTCTAGAATTTTCCTCTCCCTTAGCTATATATGATACTGTAGAAAAATTAAGTTGTTGATAAACTTTATCTATGTACTCAAGCGTCTCTTTTGTTGTCTTCAGACCTCTAATTGGAATAGCTATATCAGTCTCAATCGATCTAAGAATCCAGAAAATAATTTTGGCATCATTAATCTTCTATTGTTTAACCTCCTTACTATCAGATTCATTGGGTTTGGGTGATGAATCATCAATATGACCCCAAAGACCCTGCCCTCAGTATAAAACTGGAAGTGGGACTTCCATAGTGAACAATTACTCCCATTATATCTGAGTGCAAGAATATCTCTCCTATCTGAGGCCATTCCAGCAAAGAAAACACCAAGAAGACACACTCCAAGGCAAGAAAAATGGTATTAAAGCAAATAATAAAGGGAAAGCTTGCTAAAATCCAACCTAAATCAAAGTCAATGAAGTAAATAAAAGAAGACTAAGAGGTCTAACACTAAATAAATCAGCCTTCACTAGGAAACAACTCCCAAAATACTAGAAAATCGATTAGCAGTCTAAAGAAGGAAAGTATAGGTTTGAATAAGGTTGAAAATTGGGTCAAAACCCTCCAAAACAACTAGTCCAACCACTAATCCAATAATATGGGAGATAAAATAATTGGGGCAAAGGGGAAGGATCAAAACCTTCAAGAAAGAACTTCAAAATAATTGTTGCAAGATGTAATAGTCCCGAATAGGTAAATTGTAGGTCTGTCAATGGTAGAAAAGGGATTAAAACCCTTCAAATCAAGTATGAACTCCAATCCAATTGAATGGATAAGTTTAAGAGCCTAGGGCAATTCAAAATCTAGAAGCACAAGGTGATTGGATCAAGCAACTGAGAAAAAAAAAAGTAAGGAATCCAACCTAAGGCTCAGTTTGGAAGGAGTACAAATGCAAATATATACTATGCAAATACATACAAAATAATGCAAAATATAAGGTTTTGCACTATACAATATATTTGCATTTGTACTCCTTCCAAACTGAGCCTAAATGGCAAAAATCCAAAAAGAAAAAAAAAAAGAAAATAGTGTTAAGTTTGTATTGAGCAAAATAGCCTCCAAGCAATCCTCGAAATAGTCTTCAATAGCAGAGCTAGAAAACTTCTATGTTAATCTTTTGAACTTGAATGAAAAGCTGATGTAGAAGACCTTCACAGATACCATAATAACTAGGGTTTGTACAGGAGAAAAGCGAGCAAATTTTAGAGGTGTGTCTTATATGTCTCACATGCCCAAACAAAATATACTATACACTAATGAAATACAAAAGATGAGAAAGGACCACTATGTCCTTCTCTAGTTCAAGAAAGAAGAAAAAAAAAACTAATAGAGAAATACCATAGGATACATGATAAAAAGATACTCCCAAACAAGAAAAACAAGAGATCAGCCCTTATAATCTCTATAGTCTAAACATTTCAGCCCTTTGGTAATTGTTGCTAGACACTTGGGCCTTAATAAGACATTTGCTACATGATCTCTCAGTCATTAATATCTAACACTGGGATTTAGTGAAGAACGTATTCCCTTAACACAGCCTAATGCCACACCCTCTCATCAATGGGTCCTAGAAAAGAAATATTTTGCAAAAAAAAAAATCAAAATAAATTATTTATGAATAAATATACTTTTACAAAATATATCTTAATAGACTTTGAAATCTGCTATCAACAATTTTTTACTTTCCATTGAAGACAGTGTGTTCACAGATATTCTCTTTGTTTAACATAACAAAGGGACTAATCCTATCATAATGTTATAAATTTAGGTTATTGTTTTATTTGATATGTTTTGATATTTACTTAAAAGATTAGATCAAGTTTTATTTCTAAATAATAATCCACTTTGGTTCCTACATTATTTGAAACCATTTTTTGTTTTTGTTTTAACTATCGATTAAAAGCTCATACTTATTTTTTGGAGTGAATAGATACATGTTTAAAGAAGAAAGCTTTTGTTTGAAAGTGGGAATAACCACATTGTTGAAAAGAAGAATTAAGGAGGTGAAGTTGTGTGACTTAGATATCTGGCTAATTTTCCATACACGATGTCACACTGTGATCCATTTGGAAAGCTTGTGATATGGTGATATTTGAGGGTGTGGGGTGCCTTGTCTATTGTGGATCTAGTGATTAGTAACATTACTCAATGCATTGAAGAGTGGGAGATTGGTGGCTCTACTAAGCAGATGCTTTGTTCCTATGGCTCTTCTACTATGACTTCAAATCAGCCCCCAACAACATCTTACAGCACATCCCTGCCGTGTATTGGGAACATCTCCCAATGATGACATCATTATTTCTGGTACTATCATCGGGAGATGTTCCCAATACACGGCGAGAATGTGTTGTGGGGCACAGTCTTGTGGGATAGAACGGGGTAGTAAATGGGATGGGATAATATGCTACACAAAAGGGAGGTAATATGTTTTTTTATAAGTCACACAACGTCATGTGTTGGGTAATATGTCCCTTCATGAGAGAAAAGAAAAAAAAATGTTTTTTTATAAACTGAAAGATGCTACACAAAAGGGAGGTAATATGTCCCCACAAGAGGTGATCAATTTATTTGTTGGGTAATATCCCCACGTCATGTGTTGAATTCAGAGAGATGCATGCTGGCGAGTTGAAATCAGCCCCCACAAGATAATTTCTCACAACGTCCCACAGCACATCCTCACTGTGTATTGGAAACATCTTTTGATGATGCATCATCATTTCTGGTATTATCATCGGGAGATGTTCCAAATACATGGCAGTAATGTGCACATGGGATGTTGTGGGGAAACTATCTTGTGGGGGGCTGATTTGAACTCCATACTGGCGTTAGTTGCTAGAATTTATCTTTAAAATACAATGCCTACAATAGTAATAAGATTATTAAACAACTATGATCAATTTGGCAATGAAATAACAGAAAAGACTATATTATATTCATTGCAGCACCACTTACAGAAACCCTACTACACTTCACAATAATGTGAAGCATAAGGGCAACAACATAATCTGAGATATGGATAGCTACTGGAAAAGAAAAACAGAAATATGGATAAATACAACTATACAAGGTCCATTTTCGGTTTTCTGCAACCAGAATCCTGTTCATCAGCCATCATCACCTTCCTATTGTAGTCAATTCATATGTATGTATGTATGTATGTATGTATGTATGTATGTATGTATGTATGTATGTATGTATGTAGTTCAATTCAGACAGCTGCTTGGTTTAATTAAACCAGCAGCTATTCCATGTGCATGTGCACAAAACGACTTCGCTATTTGGTTCTGGTAAGTAAGTGTTATATCTTCCAATCTGATTCCGGTACACGGTTTCGCCACACTACAGTTAATCTTGACGGCGGTTGGTGTTGCCGACGTTCCTCGGATGCCTCTGTATGTCACCTGGCTGACAGTAATGCTGGAAGCCTGTGAAAATCAGGTCACCTTGATCAAAACATTTGAATGAAAAATTTGTACAATCGTGGGTGGCCCAATTCTAAGCCCAACAAAGGAGCCAACCAATACTGGGAAGCCCTAATTCAAGTTGGGCTGAAGTGGGCCAAGCATGAAAGCCCAAAGCCCATTTACTTGGGCAATTTGGAGAAACAAATATTTCCCCAAAATCAATCTTTGTATGATTGTGGCACTGTACCTTATGAGGACAAGAAGTTGCAGAGCTGGAGCAGTAGTTCTGGTCAATGATAATGGGATTTCTAACATTTTCCATTCTAACGTTTTCAAAAACGATTCCTCTAGCAAATCCATTACTGGGCCTGGCCCACGACTTAATTCTCAGCCCATTTGTAGTCCCAGTCATAGTAACGTTTTTAACTGTCACATTCTTCACCCCCGATTCATTCAGACTCCAGCCAAGACTTCCAATGCTGCAGAAAAACACCCATTCAAATATTAACCTCTGTTTTTTTTTTTCTAATTTTAATTATCAAGATTTAAAAACTGAATAATTTACTCAAAAAATAGAAAATAATTCTGTGCACTGTGCAGTGAAGAATGATCTCTCAATGTGTATTCTCACCTGATGCCATGTCCAGGTCCACATGCAATGTTCTCTATCCACAGGTTTCTGGTTCCCGGGCCAACCGAGATGCAGTCGTCGCCGGTCCTGATGCCGGAGTTAACGATCCTGACGTTGGTTGATTTTTCTACGTGAATGCCGTCGGTGTTCGGACTGTTACCTGGGGCAGAGATCACCACTCCTTGCATGGTCACATTCTGGGCATTGTCTAGCACAAAGTGGAACTTCTGGCTGCTTATCGACGTTACTCCATTGATCAGGATGTTTCTTGAGTCCCTGAAGACCAGCGACTGGTCTCACAAGCAAAGAGCAAAGAGAAGTTGTCAATTATAGGTAAAATAACAAAAAACAATGAAAACAAAACCATTCATATTTCTTCTCAGAAATATCGAAATCACACTACAAAGTATAAACTGTAATAACAATGAAAACAAACCTACCCGGGCTCCGGTTGGGCAAGAATTGCCGGTAGACTTGCAATACCACAGAGACGAGCCTTGCCCATCAAGAGTCCCTCCATAGATTGAAACTCCATTGACGTTCTGGAATGCAAGCCAGTTGCTTATGTTGCTGAATTCTCGGTAGTTATATGGAGCCACGAGTGTGCCCTGAATGATTATCCTGACATCTGAGTTTCTGCAACCGCCATGGAAGACGATGTGGCCGAGTAAATATCTCCCCGACGGCACATAGATGATGGCCGGACTGGTTGAGGCACAAGCCGAGGACCATGCGTTACGGAAGGGTTGGGTCGAGTCAGTTCTGCCATCTGGGTTGGCCCCAAAACTGATCACATTGTAGGTTGTGTATGCCGATACTGAGTGGACGAAGAGCAGAAGAGAGAAAAGAGAAGAAAGAAACAGCTTCTCCATTGTAGGTTGTGTATGCCGATGCTAAGATTTCTTAGCATGAATCATGTATTCAGTATTATAAATCTACAGATTAATACAGTTATGAGTCTTTAGACTTTTATTCCAACTGTGATTTTATTTATCAATTATAATCCAACTAGAAGTAGTTCCTCGAGAGTCCTAATTTCCTACAGTGCTAGCGAGTGAGAGTCCTAATCTAAGTTGTGCCGTCCGGTTTATCTAAGGTGGGGTTTGGATCGGCAAATTTTGGGTTTTGATATTAATTTTGGGCTGAGGTCTTGGTGCTTAATTCGGCTCAATTTATATCCGGTAGGCAGCACGTTCAATGAGCATTTGGATTTTTTTTTTTTAAATTTGTCCTTAAAATACCCCCAGCCTACTCTATTAAATATATCAAGTGTTCATTGAACATGCTTGGGTTGACGGAGGACGGGAGGACTTGGGATCTCCTGCCAATACATGTTCCAACACCCTAGCTAGCTACCAACTTGATTTGACACCACACTTCTCACTATGAAATTAGGACCCACCATAAAAGTGGGATCCGTCATGTATGAGATGTACAGACCAATAAACTAGAATCATACACATGATAATGATTCATCTATTATTTATCAAAATTCATGGGCGGATTTTGATTGGTCAAAACTCTTTCCTACCATATATCTTTTCTGTATCATAGATGTTCATGACAGGTGATCCGGTCTTGAATGGAAGATGTTACAAAAACTGACCATTGGAGAGAGAGAGAGATCAAACAACTCCACTATCAATAAACAATATAATACCTGTGGTGGCATCACCTTTGAGAAGGGAACTTATTATTCTTGAATCTGCATCCTCCAAGCTGAAATAAGATGTGTTTGGTAACTATAATATTTTAAAATAGTTCTAATGAAAAAAAAAAGATTTGAATTTAATTAAACATCATATATTGAGAGAAAACATTGCCTGCTTGATTTAACATTACCAATTTATGAGATGCTCATAGGCTCCTAGTGAGTCCGGATCACCTGACAAAAAAACACATTCCAACCCTCTCTACCAACATGATTTCACACCGCACGTCTCATACAAGGGAGGTCCCACTTTTATGGTCAGTCCCCGTCTCATGGTGAGATGTGCTGTATTAGATCAAGTTGGTATAGGGTTTGATTGTGTTTTGTTGGCAAAAGATCCCAACTCCCTTATAATATCGGGATTTGTCATCATTCTCATTAACATCTTGTTAAAGGAATTGGGATTTGCTCTTCATAAAGCGTTGCTCACACTAACCTCACAGCACATTCCACTGTGTATTGGAAACATCTCAAGTAACAACACAAAGTAGTACAAGAGATATTTCCAGCAATATGAGAAGTAAAAATGTTATAGAGTAGTAAAATATGAGAAGAGGAAATCCATAGAGAAAACCTATTGATCAGAGCGAGAAGGATGTCAACTTTGCAAATTTGCCATAATTTTATTATATTATACTAAAACCCATTACCCAATATTAGTCCCAACCATCTAGGGTCTTGAGAGGGGTCGACTGGATACGAACCTTAACCTTTGGCACTTTCATGCACAAAGTGTTTGCTCTTAGACTTAAACCTACACTCTCATACTTGTCAGCCCGAGATTATACCATTACACCAAGCAATAACCCCTTTTAATACATCATACTAAAAAAGTAAAATTTAATAAAAAAAAATCTCTTTATTATGTTTCTTCCATTGTATTGACCCAATATAGTTCCCCAACAAGATGTAAAAGAATAACACAAAGAAATGGATGACTACTACAATGGTGTGCATTCCCTGATTCATGTTTATCTGAAATTATGCATGTAAGCAGCTTTCTGGTTCAATGGAACCATAAACTATTCCCTCTGCATTGCTACAAGAGGATTCCGCGGCATGGCCCTCACAAGAAAGATGTATATCTTCTAATATGATCCCTTTGCACGGATTCTTTGGACTACAGTGAAATGACATAGCAACTTGTGTTGCTGAGGTTCCATGGATGTCTTTGTACGTCACATTGCTTATTTTTACACCTGAAGCCTGTGGAAAATACATAATTATGTTAATTAAATAAAAAAAAGTATGTGTCATTTGGCAAGTCTTGTTTAAAAGATCTTCTGACAGACCTGATAGTCAAAAGACGATGTGAGCTTTTGCATTAAGGTCTTAGCAGCTTGAAGACCATTTGGTTAAGGTGTATCTTCCAATACATCTTTCTGCGTGAAGATGCGATGAAAGGCACCTTTTAGCAGCTTGAAAGACTATTTGGTTAAGGCGTGTCTTTCAATGCTACGTGAAGCAGCACTTTTTGGCAGCTAGATCTTTTCCTAACCAAATAGGAAGAGGCAAAAATGCAGACTACCGGGCTTCTAAACAGTCTACATCCCGCGCAGAAAGGCATGCCAAACAAGGCCTTAAAATGCGGCTTAAGCCCATTTGATGGGCCAATAATTCCAAACTTGCACCACATCTAAAGTTGAAGTGGACCAACCTAGCCTATAATCCCATCTCTCATTGGTATCACTTTGTTTAAGGTGGTGTTTGGTGCATCCTTTTGGCATGTCTTTCACTCTGTGGAAAGCTTAAAAGACCAAAATAATGGCATTTTTCTGTTTGGTATCGTGTAGACCAAAATACCCGAATATGGGTGTGCGGAAAGACCAAAAAAACTAAAAATTAGGAAGCTTCAAATGAAAATTTTGGCCTTTCCACATTAAAAATAGCCTTCCCAGTTGTTTTTAACAGCACGATAAAACATGACGCTAATCAAACAACCTTGATCTTTAAAAATAAGACCCCAAAAACTCATTACATCTTCTTATCTATTGGGCTGTTAAAAGATCTACTTAGAAAGATTTTCCAAATCACCCTAAGTTGTTTTTTTTTTGTGAGGGAATTTAAAAAATAAATAAATGAATTTCTTATTTTTCCAAATATAGACTTACCCCACCATGGCACCCTCCATCACAATAATTCTGGTCAATTATGATGGGGTTTTTGACATTGTTCATGGTGGCATGTTCGAAATGGACCTCATTTACGAATCCATCATGTGGTGTTGCAAATGTCTTGATCCTCAACCCATTTTCAGTACCCGTAAAGGTAGAAGAAGTAACCGTCACATTTTGAACTCCTGGTTCATTAGGTACCCTTCCAAGACTTCCGATGCTGCAAGAAAAAATCTCCCTTAGCCAATATTTTCCAAAAGATCTATTTTATATGCTTAAAATGCAGTCAGTTTATTCTTTCCCCTTAGAATTTTGTGATTTTCTTTTCAAATAAAAAAACAAAAAAAAATAGATATGGGGCTATTATAAATTCATTAGATACATGCCTAAATTCATTATTGATGAATTTATCAATTAATATATAACATTAGATATGTGTCTAAATTTTCTTTTCTTTTTGTAATTCTTTGTATTTTCTATTTTTAAAAATTTTATTATCTGATTATGGAATCATTTCATTTCTACATTGATTTTAAATTTGGTATTCAATTTTCATCATTAATAAAACTATTTATTATATTTGATACTTATTTTTGTTTAGTATAATGAATATAAATTAGATATGCCCAATTCTTTTTTGTATTATATATTTTATTTATTTTAATTTTATTATTTAATTATGGTCTTATTTATTAACCCATTTGATCCTAAATGGTTAAAGTGCTTACCCACCACTAGGAGGAAAGAAAATGATTTTGTTTTCAAATTACCTCTAGAAATATTTATTTTTATACTATTAATATTAATGTTGTAGATTTAATTAGTAGAATTTAATGATGAGAAAAAAGTACATCTTAAATATAGAATTTAATGAGAGAATATAAATTAGATATGAAATTTAATGAGAGAGAATAGGAAAATAGTTTTATTTCCAATTGATTTTAAATTTTACATTCCATTTCCAAAATTAATAAATACATTTTTTACTTATCATACTTATTATTGTTTAATATGTCAAATATATAATGTTAAAAATGTTCCCATTTTTTTTTGCATTTTATCTATTTTTGAGTTTTATTATTTAATTGTAGCAATGTGGATTGACCCATTTGACCCAAAATGGTTTAATTTCTTACCACCACTTAGATGAAAACACTATTTTTTCAAGTAAATTTTAAAAGTATTAGTTTTTGTATTATTATAATTATTAATTTATTATATATGGATTTAATTAATAGAATTTAATGATGAGAATAAACAAAAATGTCTTAAATGTATGATTCAATGAAGGTAAATGTAAGCTAATACCTTAAATGTTGGATTTAATGAGAGTGAATTGAATATCTTAAAATTACTTCTTTTCAACTCATTTAATATTAATAACCAATTATCCTATTTGCCCTCCTTTTTTATCAATAAATTTAAATATAGAGGGATAAATTTTGTCCTTAAAAAATCCAGAAATGTTCTTGAGCCTATTCATGCTTTTTAAAGTAGTATAGAAATAGATAGTTCTTTGAAATAGTAATAGAGCTTGTTCAACCAATGGTTTAGTGTTTGATCATTTCCACCCTATTTATAATTTGAAACACAAGTGTGGTTGGGACTATGCTTGTCCACACTTCATGCCCTTCATGTGAGAAGGCGCATTGGAGAAGAAAAACCTATTCAAGGACCTCACCTAATGGCTAAAGCTCTTTTAGGTTGAACAGTTCTTTGAGAGGTTTAAAAAGAAAGAATCTAATCACTCTCTTATAAAACACGAGCATCTTTGCATCTCACGAGTCTAAAGTCACTTCCAGTATAACTGAAAATAACATGGTTTTCAAAACTGGACCGGACTGGAAAACCCAGGACTGGTCGGGTAACTGGTTCCATTTCACCCTAAAACTGATTTTGGCCAAAAACCGATGATTTGGTCAGTGATCCTTTGACCCAGGCGATCAAACTGTAGAACCAGACAACGATTTTTTTCCATTTTTATTTTTTAAACCAGAACAAGCCATCCATTCAAACCAGAAAATCAGACCGTTCAACTCGGGAACCGGTCCGATTTTTAAAAACCTTGGAAATTAAATACTACGAGTCTATATCTCACCTAATGCCATGTCCAGGTCCACATGAATTGTTCTCCATCCACAAGCTAGTAGCTCCATAGCCAATGGAGATACAGTCATCACCAGTCTGAATATTGGAACCCAGGATTGTGACGTCTGAAGATGATTGTACATGAATGCCGTCAGTATTCGGGCTGTCGCCTGGGGTTTTGACATTCACCCCTTCCAAGTGCACATTCTCGCAGCCATCGATCACAAGGTGGAACAACTGGCCGTTTGTCAACAACAATCTGTTGATCACAATGTTCCTCGACTTCTTGATGGTCAAGGACTGTTGCACACACACGTATATACAAGAAAACTTTAGAATTCTAAGAATGCTTTGTTTTCACCTCTTCTTTTGAAATTACCACATCAGCAAAAACACAAAATCAAATTGGTCTTATTTCAAAAGAAAAAAAAACAATTCATGTTTTGAAAATCATAAAAAACGGAGTCCAGATCTCCTGTCCACACAAACTCTGCCCCACATAACATCACAGCCACACATGGAGAACATCTCATTCTCCTACATAGTATTATGCAGGGGAGATGTTCCCAATTCACGGAAATAGTGTGTTGTGGGTAAATGTGGACAGAAGATCTGGAGTCTAAAAAATGATGGTTTTTAAAGCAAATACAAACTTCCGTAGGACAGGAAAACCTATGCTTCTAGAAGGACATAATACGAGAAGAGCTTTAACCAATCAAAACCCTCGTGAATTTCGATAAATGCCACTTGATGGATAACCAATTTTGTAATACTGGTTGATTGGTTACAAATTTTTCTAGTATCATCATAGACTAATCTTAATTTACGTTTAAATTCAATTAAAATAATATTTTAAGTTTTCTAATCAAATCATCAATACCAACCGAGGGGTGGCTCATTGATATAATTGACGCAGAGTTGATTCCCGCAACCATTGATTTGGGGAAAAAAGGGTTATTAGCGGTGTGTGGCATCGAGTACGTACCAAACAACAAAAAGAAAAAACCAAATCACCAAGTGGAAAGACAATTTGGTGTTTTGATTAGAGAGTTTATTGATTGTGAATAGGAGTGCAAGTCGGGTGGGTTGGGCCCGGTTTATGATCAATCTAGGTCCGGCCCTAAAATTTGGGCTTAAGGCCTGAGTTCGAGGTCAAGCCCTATTTTCCTAACCCGAGCCCAGCCAGCCCCAGTCCACTTTAAAATTATATATATATATATATATATATATACATACACACACATATATATATGTGTATGTGTGTGTATATATGTATGTATACATATATTTACGACATTTACATATATACATATATATATATATATATGTATAAATGTATATAATTAGGAAGTGTTCTAGCTACCTAAGGGCTAGGCCCGAGCCCAGCCCAAAAAATAAAAAAACTCAACTTCTTGGGCCCAAGCCCAGCCCATGTAAAATTCCGCATTGGGCCAGTTCAGGCTCGGGCTGGGCCTGCCCAAGTTGCACCCCTAATTGTGAATTCTTTACAATTAGAAAAGTTATGCATACCCTGGCTCCGTCCGGGCATTTCTTCCCATCAGCTTTACATTTCCACAAAGAAGACCCTTGGCCATCAATTGTCCCTCCATTGATTGTAAATCCATCAACCTCATCAAAGAAAAGCCAAAACGGAGAACCAGCAAGGACTCTGTAGTCCGACGGGGCCACTAAACTGCCATCAATTTGCAACGTGACCTTATTGCTCTTGCATGGGCCACTGAAGAATGCACGGCCCAGTAAAAAGCTTCCGGGCGGCACATAGATTGTTGCTGGGCTGTCCGAGCCACAGGCCTTCGCCCATGCGCTGAGGAATGCATGGGTTGAGTCAGTATGGCCGTCTGGTCTGGCCCCAAGATCGACCACATTATAGGTTGTGTCTGCAGATGTTGGGTAGAAGAAGACGCCCAGGAGTGAGAAGAGAAAAGCTAAGATCTTCAACATTTTGAGAGAGAGAGAGAGAGGTGAAGGTTGGATGGGAGAAGTCAAAGTGGTTTGGGCTATTTATAGTGTTTGGTTGGTAGGGGACGGACTGAAATGGTTTGAGCATTGAATCCAAAGCAAAAGTGAGAAGTGAGAACAGATGACAAGAGTGTATTAGGGCCGTTTGATAATAGCTGAAACGGGTGAACTGAATAACTTATTGTTTTGGTCTTTAGTGAGTAAGTTATTAAGGAGGTTGTTAGCTCCTTAGGCTCAATTTGGAAGGACTACAAATACAAACATGTTACACTATAAATACATACAAAATAATACAAATTAGAAGGTTTTGCACTCTACAAATTTGCATTCATATGGGCCCAGTTTGAAAAAAGCATAAATACAAATATATAAAAAATAATACAAAATACAAGGTTTTATTAACCATTTATCTATTAATTGATAAAGTAGTAAGTCATTCAGCCACTGGATCCGGGTTACTTGGGCTTCGCTTGACTGAGTTGAAAACATTAACATATAAGCAATGTTTGGTGAAGTGCCTGTTTGGGAGGGCTTTCCTGTAGGGGCTTTTCACTTTGTAAAATGGCCCCATCCAAACAGCATATAAGAAAAATGCCAAAATCTGATGTCCTTCAGCCAAAAAAACGGGCTTTCCATTAAAGCTTCTTTTAGCTTGTGCTTGGTTTAAAAGAAAAGGTACCAAACACAGCATTAGTGATTTCTCGCAATACATTCGAAGCTTCAGCCCTCCCAAACAGATCCTTAATTAATCATTTATTAAAACGAACGGGTGGCCACAAGGCCCACAATATCTGTGGATGCGTACATGGTATGTCTGGTTTTTTTCTACAGCCTACAAGTTATTGCTTAAAAGCTACAAAGGGGAATGGAGCATGTGGCTGCCCACAATAACAGAAATGGAGAAGAGTACTCGTTTCTTCTTTATTCTGTTTGACAGAAAATAAGAGAGAAACCAAAAGTTGTGGGAAAGTTTTTCACAGCTCTCTCTCTCTTTTGTGTGTTTTAATCATGGTTCTCAAAACCGGATCGGACCGGAAAAACCGGGTCCATTTCCCCCAAAACCGGATTTTCTCAAAAAAAATATTGATTTTGGTCAACAAATCGTTAAACCGGGCGATTAATCATTCGAACGGTTTTGATCATTTTAATTTTTTTATTTTTTGTCAGACGATCGAACCGTTTAACCCGATAACCAGACCCTTGACCAGATTGGTTTTAAAAACCATGGTTTTAATTAATCAAATGGAGAAGAGCTCTCTCTCTCATTCTCTCTCCCGGCATCTAAAGAATATGCCAATTACTTACATCAGCAACTCATGCAATCCTTCTCTCCATGACCCAATTAGCCTCCATTGGCATCACTCCCATTACTCTTCCCGATGGGATCACTACCCCGGTTGCCTCTGTTGGCACTGTAGCCCACAGAAACAATATTTCTCTTTCCAATGTTCTCTATCTACCTCGTTTTAAATTCAATCTTCTCTCTGTTAGTAAATTAACTTCTCCTCTTAATTGCTTCGTTACTTTCTATCCTGACCATTAGGTTTTTTAGGACCTTTCAACGAAGAAGATGGTTGGACCAGGTAAGCAGCTTGGCGGTTTGTACCACTTGGTTCATGACACACCACTCACTTCTCTCCTTAGCACTCACCCTTAGCTAAATAAATCAGATTACCATTTCCCTCTAGCACAATATCCACCACTCGCTCATTTGAGTTAATACATTGCGAATCTGTTCCTTCGTTTTTTGGAGCTCGTTATTTTTTTATCTATTGTTGATGAGTTTATGCATTGCATGTGGGTTTTAAATCTGAAACACTTGCTTATTTTGAATACTTTCTTCATTATATTCACATTCATTTTTTTTTTTTGCAAATGTTTAACTTATCCGAGCTAATAATGGGCCCTTCTCACTTCCAAGGGCATTTTCACCATTGCAGTTGTGTCTCCATGCCACAATAAAATGGAGTTATGGAACGCAAGCACCATCATCTTCTCAACGTGGCTCATGCATTATGCTTCTAGGCTCATCTTCGCTTACAATTCTAGGGGAGTGTGTACTCACAGCTGCCTATCTCATCAACCGCACACCTACATCTCTCCTTCATGGTCTTACCCCCATGAAAAACTTTTTGGCAAACGCCCCCCCGCCCCCCTCCCCCATAACCACCTACATGTCTTTGCCTACCTTTGTTTTTCCTCCACCACCCATATTTCCTCCAACAAGTTTAGTCCCCGTCATCCTGCATTTCATGAGAGAACAAAATATATTGAAATTGAGTGCCATCACATATGAGAAAAATCCAATCATGCCTCACCCAACCTTCATTCCTCTCATCTACTCATCAAGTTGTGGGAGAGAATTATCGTGCATGTGCCACGCATGCATCGACAGTCGAGTCCGAGTAGGACTCTTCCATTGTTGTAAGTGAATATCTCTCATCTTTATCTCTTCATTATCTCTCTCTCTCACTCACTCATCTCTACCACTCTATCTTCTCTCGGTTATCTCTATCTTGTACAATGCATTGTGTATATAATCACTTGTACAAATTGAATGAAATTATCAGAATTTATTCCTTTGTTTCCTAAATTTTGATGGTTTTGATCATTACACCAAGCGAGCCATCTATTTGAATTGTTCAACACATAACCTATGATTAGCCTTTTTCTTTGATTTTCTACTTTTTAGAACATTGTTTGGATACCCTAATAGTCAAAAAAGTAATAATTTTAAACTAAAATACAAAATTGTGTTTAGATATGGGATAATTTATTTAAATTGCAAAAAATCAAGGGCTCAATGCCTTAATAGGCTTGAAGTTTAATACAAAATTGCATTTTGATATGAAAAAATTAAGAGAAAACTAGTTAGGACCTATGCAATGCACAAATTTTGTTAAGCGAGATTGAAATGATAAAAACGAATAAGCAAATTAAAAGAATAAAAAAAAAAGTCAAGGTCCAATCTTTTTGACAAAAATTTAAGATGACCTATAATAAAAGTTAATGTAAATTATGGAAATAAAGTTAATCTAGTTCTCCAATGTTGACATAAAAAATAAAGATAATTAAGTTCTAAATATTCAAATAATGTAGAATCAGTTTGACTACCTCATTATTATTGTTGAGCCTGCAAGAAAATTATTGTAATCGTTAATTTAACTAGTTGGCACAAATTAAATTATCATCACCAAAGATCATATTCTTCTACAATGTAAAGATCACATTTTCCACTTGTTGCAACAACATAACTAAGATGATACAACTCCAAAACTAGCAACTCTATACCCTTTAAAGCTTTCATCCATATTCAACTTAAAAATTCTTAGTTGAGATTGTTTCTAAAAAAGAGTAGTCTCACTTCTTTCAACACCTAGGCAGGTGCTTTGCCAAACCCTCAACATAAACTTCTTTCTCTCCAACCACAATTTATGTCAATCACAACAATAGAGATACTCAAATCCAGGTTAGAGTCTTGAAAAATAGTTTTGTTTTTTGTTTTTCATTTACCAATGCTTAGATTACAAGTAATTAACGACAAAGCCAAGCACAAAGACCAAGTGCAAATATGAATTAGTAACTATAAAAACAACACCCAAATATAAGTTAAACTATTGAGAAAATGAAGCTAACTGAGCACCAAGAGTAAGCAACTCATGAGACCCCTAAGACGATGCTAGAAGTTTATAAATGCTAACATAAAGGATCATTCCTCCAATAGAGATTCAATCTCATCAAGCTAGACTCCCAAACCAAAATCAAATACATAACATTGATAACATGGGTTTTTGTTAAGAAAGGAAAAAACTCGCCAAGGGAAACCCCCAACCATTGGCAAATAAAAGCTAGAACATCAAATAAGACTTGGAGGCAAGAGGAGGGCAACACTCCTACCCAAAAAGGGCATGATAAACAACCTATGTTATCTTAAAAAGAGTTGAATAACCACTCACATTCACACCCTAAATTAAACATCTACTAACTATAAAAAATGCATTTGTTAAATGTTGTGAAGAAATGTCGAAACCCCCAATCATTGGAGTAACAATTTCACTCACTACAAAAAAGAATACATTTCTAGCAACAATTTTTGAACTAGTTGTTTAGCAACTACCACTAGAAATATTGTTCTTTAGCGGCAGTTAATTAAAACTACCGCTAAAGACCAAGTGATTGTGCTACAAGGTAAACCTATATTTGTGCTTTACCGATAGTTGATGATTCACCTTTCGAGATTGAGACTGTTGCTCCAAGCTTCCTTCGAGTCTAATAAAAAAGGGTTGCAATTGTCTCTTCCTCCTAGCTTTCGAGACTACTACTCTCTCTACTTCGAACGCTTTCAATCTCCTCAAGGTATTGGATTTTGTGCCCCAAATTATTCTATTTTATGCGATTTCTATTTCAATTTGATTTTAGGTATGAAAATTTATTCATTTCAAATTGATTTTATCATGCTCTATCTTTGACTGGTGTAGATCCCATCATGTTTCTGTTGTTCCTCTATGATCTTTAAATTGATTTTCACACCATGGCGTATTTTGTGTTGATCTCACTACTGCCGTAATTTATAATTATGTTTTATATTTATTTCCAATCAATCCTTGCCCTTAGCTTTTCTGAGTAGGATTATGTCTCAATCAAACAACATACGGTGCAATGTAGCTGCTAGTTATCTTCTTTTTTCGTGCTATTCTCTGTACTTGGTTTACATTTAGAGTGTAGCTTGATCTCAAAAAAACTATGCTAGAAACTTAGGAAACACCTCCAAGAAATATTGAATTTCTGGCATTCTTGCTTCTTTGCACTCAGCTTTCCTGAGTAGGATCATTCTATAGACTATACACTGACTGCAATGTGCTTGGGGGTTACCTTCTTACATTGCATTCTTCTAGTAGATATTTGAAAACCATGCTACAAAGTTAGGAAACACCACCAAGACCTTGAATTGCTGAAAATCTTACTTCTCAATATGCCATTCT